AAGTAGTATGTATCAAGAAAATTATCCATTTCTTTTAGATTTTCCAATTTAGTTAAGTACAGGTTTTTAAAGCATATCCTTATGATTCTCTGCATTTTCTTGGTATGTGTTGTTATGTCCCCTTTTCATTTCTAATTTTATGAATTTGGATATTCTCTCTTTGCCTTTTAATTCATTTGAGTAAGGCTTTGTCAATCTTTCTGGTTTCCTCAAAGAACTCTTTGTTTCATTGATTCTTTGTATTTTTTGTTTGTTTCTATTTTATGAATTTCATTCCTAAATTAGAATATTTCTTACTGTCTTCTCTTTTTGGGTGTGATTTCTTGTTTTTGTTCTAGAGCTTCTAGGTGTGCTGTGGTTACTAGTAGTATAAGGTCACTCCAAGTTATTGTTTAGTTACTAAGTGCTGTGACCTTGCCTCTTAGAACCATCTTCATTGTGTCCCATAAGTTTGGATATGTGGTATATTTATTTTCATTCAATTCCAGAAAATCTTTAATTTCATTGTTTCTCCATTTTTTCTTTCAATAGTTAGTTCAGTTTCCGTGAATTTATAATGTTTTTTTTGTTTCTGTTTTTGTTGATAGCCAGTTTTAATCCACGGTGGTCAGATAGGATGCATGGTGTTATTTCAATTTTATTTTATCTGTTAGACTTGCTTTGTGTGTGAGTATGGGTCAATTTTTGCAAAGTCCCATGAGATGCTGAGAAGGTACACTGTTTTGTGTTTGGGTGAAATGTTGTGAAAACATTTGTTAGGGTCATTTGGTTTATGTCATCTGTTAGCTCCAGCATTTCTCTGTTAGTTTTGTCTGGGTGATCTGTCTATTGCTGAGAGTTGGGTATCGATGTCTCACTCTCAGAGTATGAGGGTCAGTATGTGGCTTATGCTGCTGTAGTAGTTCTCGTATGAACTTCGGTACATACATTTCTAGAATTGCAATGTCCTTTTGGATTTTTCCTTTGAGTATGTAGAGTCCTTTCCTGTCTCTTCTGATTAGTTTTGGTTTGAAGTTTATTTTTGTCAGCTATTAAAATGGCTATACTGACTTGCTTCATGGATCTATTGGCTTGGAATATCTTTTTCCTCCCTTTACCCTGAGGTGATGTCTATTCTTGGTGTTAAGTTGTAGTTCTTGGATGCAGTAGAAAGATGGGTCCTGTTTGTGTATCCATTCCATTAGTGTGTATCTGCTTATTGAGAATTTAAGACCACTGAGTTGAGGCATATCAATGGACAACGTCTATTGCTTTTTTTGTTGTTGTGGTGGTGGTGATGGTGGTGTGTCTCTCTGTGTGTTTCCCCACTTTTGATTTGCTTCTCCCAGAAGCAAATCTTGTGTTTTATCTTGTGTTTTGTTGGGTGTGATTAACCTCTTTAGATTTGAGTTTTCCTTCTAGCCCTGTTTTTAGGGCAGGGTTTGTAGGCAGATACTGCTTAAATTTGGTTTATCATTGAATGTCTTACTTTGTCCATCTATTGTGATTGAAAGTTCGGCTGGGTATAGTGGTCAGGGTGGACATCTGTGGTCTGGTAGAATCTGTAGAACATTTTCCTGCCCTTCTGGTGTTTAGAGTCTCCACTGAGATGTCACTTGTTCTAATTTGTCTGCCTTTATATTTTACTTGGGTTTTCCTGTTTCAGTTTATAATCTTTCTTTGTTCTATACATTTAGTGTTTTAATTATTATGTGCTGAAGGGAATTTCTTTTCTGGTCCAGTCTATTTGGTATTCTGTATTCTTTTTGTACCTTATTAGGCATTTCCTTCTTTAGGTTAGGGAAATTCTCTGATTTCCTTTAAAATTTTATGTGCCTTCAACCTGGGTTTCTTCTTCTTCTGTTCCTATTATTTGGTTTTTTTCAGACTGTTCCAGATTTCCTGGATGTTTCAGGAAAAGTCATTTTCTTTGACTGAGATATCTATTTTAGTTTCTATTGTGTTTTCAAGTACTGGAGTTTCTCTTCCACATCTTGCATTCTGTTGGTGAGGCTTGCCTCTGAGGTTATCCTATTAGAATTCCTAAATGTTTCATTTTCAGATTTCTCCCAGTTTTGGTTTCTTTATTCCATTTCTACTTTCAGGTCTTGAACTGTTTTATTAATTTTCTTCCATTGTTTGTTCCTAGATCCTTCAAGAGATTTATTCATGTCCTTCTTAAGGACTTCTATCATGTTTATAAATGCAATTTAAAGGTTGTTGTCTTGTACTTTTAGCAATGTGGCAATACCCAGTCCACAGGGACTGTTGTGGTATGCTTTCTGGAATCTAGTAGAGACATACTGTCCTAGCTGTTTGTCATTGTGTTTTTATACTGACTTTTAGTCATCTGGGTTTGGGAAAGATTGTAAATTCTGGGTGCTGATACTTGGTCTTGTCTTTGGTGGGTATTTTGTTCCTTGGGTACTGTGTCCCTCTCTGGTTCTTTGGAGAGTGTGGTGGCTATGTGTTGTCTGGTAGGTAATTCTTCTGGGATCCTGAGAGGCATTGCCAATGTGGGTTCCAGGTAAAAAGTAATGGGACCTGATAATTAGAAATGGGGATGAGCTGGTTTGGGGGCTCAAGGGATACAGAGGAGGGAAGAAAGCAGGGAGTTGCACCATGATCTGCTTAGGCCCCTGGGAATGGGAGCAGAATGTGAAGAGAGGCTACAGCCTGTAGTCTGCTACAGAGCTGATGATGAGACCTGGGAGCTGGATGTGGAGGAGAGGAGGGGAGAAGCTCGGAAGCTCTGCTGCTTGCTTCACTGATCTCCTTGCTTCTCTGGCAGCCTTGAGTGGAGGATTCCTAAAGAAAGCCTACTGGAGCTGGGGTCTGAGGGAGCAAGAGGGGTGGGGAGGAAGGCTGGAGATGTGTGTGGTCTTGTGGCTATGGAGGCAGAGAGAAGGGGGTGCTGCAGCAGGCTGTCTACTGCAGACCTGGTGGTGAGACGAGGGTGAGTCTGGGAGGACTGGAGCTGCAGTCAGCCTGCCTGCCTCCCTGGCTGGAGTCTGTTGTTTTCTTAATGACACCATTCTGACTGGGAGGAGATGGGATTTCAGTGTAGTTTTAATTTGCATTTCTCTGATGACTGTTGAAGCTAAGGATTTCTCCATATGTTGTTTCTTGGCCATTTGTGTTTCATCTTTTGAGAACTGTTTTCATTTTACTAGCCCATTTATCATTTGGGTTGTTTGACTTGGTGCTTTTTTTATTGTTGTTGTTGTTTGTATATTTTGAAGTTATTACTCTATTTTCTTCCATCCACAATAGTTCCGTTTTCCCATGCAGGTAGTCAATGTGGATGAGAAATCAGCTTAAAAAGTGTCATATTTTTTTCAGTCCCATTCTTCTTTTTTCTTGTATTTAATGTATATGTGTTTAGAACTGGAGTTACAGGGTGCTGTGGGCCACCAACTGGTTGCTGGGATTGAGCTTTGTTCCTGGAAGATCTGTCAGTGGTCTGAACTATTGAATCTCCTCCCCAACTTCTAATTTTTTTCTATAGTTTATATTTTTTATGAAATTTAATTCATTCAGCCTTCCATTCATTTGGATCTTTTTTTAATTAGAAAGTTTAAATTTATACAATAAGAACTAACAAAAGATACGTTATCAAGATCAAAATAAAAATGAAACTCACAGGAAATTGTTAATATGTAGAAATTTGCAAAAACAGGATATCACAACGTTTTCAGCAGAATTACTAATCAAGCAGAAATATATCTGGAAGTGAATTTGAGTAATTCCTAAGAGAACATAATCAAGAGTTTAAAATTTTTCATAAATGATTAGATGCTAATAGAATCAATCATGACTTTTTAGGTTTTAAATATAGCATAGATAACATTTACTGTGATTTAATTATAGGGTAATTTTCTGTTGAAAGTAATTTTTCCCCTGTCACAGGCCCCTTTTCTAGTTTCCTGGCATTTACCCTCCCTCACTCCCACATAGATACACTTATATAAAAACTACACACATGAGAAAGAACACATGGTTTTTGTCTTTATGAGCCTGTGCTACCTCATTTTATGTAATTTTTCCAATTCTTTAATTTTCCTGCAAGTTGCATAATTTTATTTTTTCTGTATGGCGAATAAAACTCATTGTTCATATGTGTACCATATTTTTATTGTCCATCTATCTGTTGATGGTCATCTAGGCCAAATCAATTTCCTTGCTGTTTTGAATAGAGTAGTGGTAAAGCTGGGGTGGCAGTGTCTCTATTGTAATAGGCGAAACCTTTGGAAGACCCTGCAGTGGTATAGCTGGACTTTATGGAAGTTTTGTTTCTAGCTTAGGAGAAACCTCCAAACTGATTTCCACAGTGGCTTTACAGTTTATATCCCCAGCAGCAGCAGGAAGTGTTCTTTCCTATCCCAACATGGTTGTTCCTGAGATAGTCCTTCTGACTGGGATGAGCTGGGCTCTCAGGGAGGTTTTGATTTGTGTTTTTCTGATGTGGAAGGACATTGAACACTTTAAAAAATATTTGTTGGTTATGTTAATTTCTTTTGAGAACCCTCTGTTCAGCTCTCAGCCTGTTTTTTGTTTAGTTTTCTGAGTTCTTTGTATGTTGTCGATGCTCCCATTTACTCTGTACTCAATTAGCTTTTTATTTTGCTGTACAGAAGCATTTTTAATTTCATGAGGCCCCATTTGTTGATATTTGGCCTTATTTCCTGATACTGAATTTCTATGAAGTGCCCATACCCTACTTTTTTTTTCTCCAGCATTTTCAGAATTTCAGGTTGAATGTTAGATTTTTGATCCATCTGAAGTTGATTTTTGGCAGAATGAGAGAATAGAATACAGGTCTAATTTCGTTCTTCTACATGTGTGTATCCACTTTTCCTAGCAACAGTTGTTAAAGAGGCTGTTTTCCCAATGAGTAGTATACGTGTTTTTGTAGTGTTTTTATTTTCATTCATTTTGTGTCTTAGGGGAAGAAGTAAATCTAAATAATAATTTCCTCTGCTTTTTTTATTCTGCTTTCTAAAATACTTTTTGTTTTATAGGGATTTGTCTTGGCTGTTACTATTGCACGAGAAGCGATTGATGAATTTCGACGTTTTCAGCGAGACAATGAAATGAATTCACAATTATATAGCAAGCTTACAGTAAGAGGTTAGCAAGAGACTTTTAATCCTCCTAGCATTTGCATAGTATAAGCATGTTAGAGTTAACATAGAAAGGGGAGCATGCTCGTTCTGGGCTTGAAAGCTCATGTGACTACATATGGGCTCCCATTTTCTTATAGTTTATAATGCTAGAATTTCAGGAGAGTTTTATTCATTTTCTTACATGTGTACGTATGTGTGTGTTGTACATGTGCGCATATGTATATTTTCATATTTATACACTAACAAATGTATGCATACACTTACACAAACCTATATGCTGTGCTCTGTTAGAAAGCTGTAGCTGATATGAAAGAAAGGTTTTGTGTGATCCACAGTAGCTCTTTAAAGCACGTCTTAATTTTAATGACAGCCACAGAAGTCAATGTTGATATCATGGCATTAAGCATCTGAGTAAACGTCATTACCCAGTGCACTACAGGTGCATACACATAGTGCTCTCCCCGCATGTGGGCCTTTACAAATGCCTAAGAGTCATTTTCTTCATTTTGAGTCTGTATTGGAGTCAGTTTATGGGGAAGAGAATGGGGCACGCTGTTACAAACAGGGTTTGTGATAGTAGAAAAGAGACCTGATGAGTAAATAGTGCGGGGCACCCTGCAACTCTAAATGGGAGCTATAACCTGGAGTTCTGTTGAGAAGTAAGGTCCGAGTGGATATTGTATGTTCTGTCTCTGGACATATATAATGACTAACTTACTCAAAAAATCCCCTTATGCCTTTTGTTTTGAATACCTTATTGAGTATGATTTAAGACTTACGATCAGTGTTCATCAAGTTGTGTAACCATCACCATCTAATTTTAGAACATTTTTAGCATTTCCAAAAGAAACCCAAAATTCACTGGATCATCTTTTCATGTTTTCCTCCTTTTCTCCCACTGAAGCCCTAGGTGACCTCTGCTCTACTTTTCCATCTCTAGTTTTGCCTACTCTGGACAGTCAAATGTATGGAACCATGTACTGTGAGATCTTCTGTCATTGGCTTCTTTGTCATGTTTTCAGGGCTTAGACATGCTGTAGCATGAAGTAGTGTTTTATTTTTGTTGACAAGACTTTGCTGCAGACACACCACATTTTGTTCATCTAGTCAACACTTGTGGGCATTTGAGTTGTTTGTATTCTGTAACTGTTACAAATAACCACACTCCTATGAACATTGTTTACCAGCTTTTCATAAATTTCGTTTTCATTTTTCTGGGCTATCTTCCAGCAGGGAGGTTCCTAGACTGGGCAATGAAAGAACCACCACCCTACTTTTTAATTGGCTGTATCATTGGCATTCTTGCCAACAGTGTACATGGGTTCTGATTATGCCATGTCTTCATCAGTTACTGTCTGCCATGTTTATTGTAGTAGTATGGGTTTTATTTGCATTTGCTAATGATTATTGAGATTGAGTGTTTTTGTGTGTTTATTGGACATTTGCCCACAATTGTATATTCATTCCTTCAACCACTTTTTAACTGAACTGTTGGTCTTTCTGTTGGTGAATTCTAAGTATTCCTTTGCTATCTTGGGTAAGCCTTTGCCAGATTTATGATTGCAATATCTCTCCCATTTTGTGGGCCTGTATCTTCACTTTCTTGATGCATAAATGTTTTATTTGGTCTGAATCATCTACTTTTCCCTTTTGTTTGGTGTTGTAGCCAAGAAATAACTGGCCAACTTTGTAATGATTTCTCTTTTTTTCTATTGGCTATAGACTTACCTCTACATTTAAGTCTGGTCCATTTTCATGTACAGTGTGTTATATTGGTCCACCTTGGTTTTCATAAATATGAAGTTATTTGTAACCATATGCTAAAAGACTAATCTCTCCACTCTATTTTTAAACCATTAAAAGAAATGAAGTGAGTTGGAGAGATGGCTCAGTCAATAAAGTGCTCGCTGCACAAACATAAGGACTTGAATTAGGATTCCCAGCACCCATGTAAAATGTTGGGTATTGGGATGAACATCTGTAATGTTGGATGTATGTTTGGAGAAGGGAGACAGCAGATTCCTGAAGCTTACTGGCCCAATCTAGCCATAACATTGAGCGCCAAGTTAGTGAGAAACTCTGCCCCCAAAAGAAGCAGGACAATGGAGAAAGACACCCAACATTAACTTCTGACCTTCACCTATGTATGCATACACACATCAACACATGTAAGTACTAGAAAAGAAAGATTTATGAAAAAGAACCCTCAAAGGGCCAGGTAAATTAGGTTTGACTTTATATTATATTGAGAACAGTTTATAGATTCTAGCTTATTTTTTTTCTCTTTTTTTTATTTTTTAATTTATTTATTTATTAATGATTTCTGCCTCCTCCCCGCAACCGCTTCCCATTTCCCTCCCCCTCCCCCAATCAAGTCCCCCTTCCTCATCTGCTCGAAGAGCAATCAGGGTTCCCTGACCTGTGGGAAGCCCAAGGACTGCCCACCTCTATCCAGGTCTCGTAAGGTAAGCATCCAAACTGCCTAGGCTCCCACAAAGCCAGTACGTGCAGTAGGACCAAGAACCCCACTGCGATTGTTCTTGAGTTCTCAGTATTCCTCATTGTCCGCTATGTTCAGCTAGTCCGGATTTATCCCATGCTTTTTTAGACCTGGATAGAGGTACTGCAGAAGCTAAGAGACCATAGATGCAAGCCCAAACTACTATACCCAGCCAAAATTCTAGCTTATTATGAAATTAATTTTACTTTGGTATTTGTAGTTAAGCAGAGTGTGTTGATGGAGAAAAATAATTGCAGACTTTTTCTGATGAGGGTCAGATGTGGCCCTACAAGACATGAAGTTTAAACCAACTGTCTTTCCCCTGATCAAGAAGACAAGGAAGCCATGGGAGAAATTGTAGAAAGATATCAAGAGAATGATATATGAGTACTTAGAGAATAACTATAGAGATATGGCAGTTATATGAATATGTAAAAGAATTCAGGGGCTGAAAAATAGCCTAACTAATAAAAGAAACTTACCAGAAGGTTTTAGTCGCAGACTTAAGTGAACTGGAATGTCAGTGACCTTGACTGTATGTCAGGTGAAATGATCCAGTTTGAGGGGCATAAAACAAACATAAATGAGCAGTTCTTGAGAGGCATTACAACAACATAAAGTGTGTGACATGTCCGTCATAGAAGTCCTGGAAGAGGAGGCAGAGAAAGGACAGAGTAGGGAAGAAGTAACGGCAAGAAGCTTGCCCTGTTTGATCAAAGACATGAACCTGTGCCTTCAAATTCCAGCTACCCCAAAAAGGATCAAGAGGAAGAGGTCATCATTGAGGCACAATCAGACTGTTGAAACTTGGTAACCCAGAGGAAAGGCCAAAAGCAAAGCAAATAGTCCAGATGTGATGTACTCAGATCAGCAGTCATGGAGGTGACAGGACGGACAGGCTTTTACAGCAATGAGAGTCGGACTATCAGCCAGGTCTTCTGTCTGGTAAACCCTGGGTTAATAACTCAAGAAGGCCCTGGCAGGGGTGGTGCACTCCTGTAACCCCAGCACTTGAGAGGCAGAGGCTTATAGATCTATTTGAGTTCAAGGCCAGCCTGGTCTACAGAGTGAGTTCTAATGATTGCCAGGATTGTTACAGAGAAACCCTGTCTCGGGTGGGGGAGACAAAAACTGAAGAAGGAATTAAAACGTTCTTAGATAAAATTCCCTGATAACCTTTCAAATTGTTTCCGTGCGTGCGTGCGTGTGTGCGTGCATGCATGCGTGTGTGTGTGTGTGTGTTTGGTGTCTGTACATGGCATGCACATGGATGTTAGAGGACAACTTCCAGGAGTCAGTTCTCTCCTCCTACCATTTGTTTCCCAAGGATCCAGCTCGGAGAATCAGGCTCAGCAGCAAGGGACTTTACCTACTGAACTGTTGAATTAGGAACAGCAGGCTGCGTCCCCAACACCCGGCCGCCCGCATGGCTAGCTTTACCTGAAATAATTACACGGAAACTGTATTCTTTTAAACACTGCTTGGCCCATTATATCTAGCCTTTTCTCGGCTAACTCTCGGACCTGGACTAGCCCATTTCTTATAATCTATGTAGCCCACGAGCTGGCTTACCAGGAATGATCTTAACCTGTATCTGCCTGGAATGGAAGAATCATGGCAACTCCTCGACTCAGCTTCTTTCTCCCAGAATTCCGTTCTGTTTACTCTGCCTACCTAAGGGTTGGCCTATCAAATGGGCCTAGCAGTTTCTTTATTGCATAATCAATGAAATCAACAGATTGATATATGACACTCTCACATCACTGAACCTTCTATTTGGTCCACTGATTGGCTTTTATGCACTGAAGAAAATTGTCAGAAAGTGGAAAAAAGGGCCAGAGAGATAACTCAGCAGTTAAAGTCACTTGATCTTGCATAAGACACAGGTCAGTTTCCAGCACCTACCTCAGATAGCTCAAAACCTTCTGTAACTCTACTTTTTGGGCCTCCTATGCCTTCTTTTGACCTCCTCTGACATGTGTACCAGTTGATACATAGAGCATACACTTAGCTACAGATGTGTAATAATAGATAAATAAATATTATAAAGGAAATAAAAACAGAGGAGAAAATATGTATGACCTGATAAAGACTCAATATCTAGATAAGTAAAGAACTCAGCAGTTTACCAGCAAAAGAAACTCAACTTAGAAATGGACAAAGAATCCAAATAGGTGTTTTTTTTTTTCAAATAAGATAAATAGCTAATAAGCACATGGTGTTCAGTTAGCATCATTAACTCATAGGAAAATGCAAAGAAAACCTCAGCAAGGTAATGCTACTAGGTAGGCCATCACTAAAGTATTGTAAGGTGACAAAGTGTAAGGGCTGATGTAGAAATATCGGTATCCTGGAGCATTATTTGGGGGTATTATCAGTGTTTAATCAGTCACAGTCACATCCTTCATGTTTAGATAGAATTTAATACAGAGACCCAAGAACATTTGCCCATGTTTATTATAGTCTTTAATATTCATGACAGCCCAAATGAAAACAGTCTATGA